TCCCATCTCCACATCTCGCCATACTCCCTCACTCCCTCGCCTTCTCGCCATCCCTCCCTCCCTCCCTCCCATATCCACACCTCGCCATAGTATCTCGCCATCACTCCCTCCCTCCCGTCTCGCCATAGTCCCTCCCATCTCGCCATCGGTCCATAGTCCCTCCGTCCCTCCCCAGCCATCTTGCCATCCTTCCCTCCCTCCCATCTCGCCATCCTTCCCTCTCTCCCATCTCGCCATCCCTCCCTCCCTCCCTCGATCCATCCCTCCCTCGGTCCATAGTCCCTCCGTCCTTCCCTCGCCACATATTGATATTGTAAAGCATCTCCCCCCATCGTAATATCTCGCCATCCATCCATCTTCTTCTTTTCCTTCTTCTTCTTCTTCTTCTTCGGCATTGTAAAGCAGTCTCCCTCCGTCCGTCCATCCTACCATTTTATCAGTTGTTTATTGGAAGCGGAGGACGTGGTTGCAGCAGCATGGCCAGCGGGAGCAGGGCAGGGGGTGCGGTTGGTGGAGAAGGGAGCCGGAGGCAGCTGGAAAGAGGAGGGGGTAGAGGGAAGGACATTGCGAGCTTGAGCGCACCTTCGTCGGGGGTGGTTGACAAAGTCCCGACGCCGGCTACGGACCCATCCTTGTTCATCCCACAACCGGAGGGAAGGCAAACGAAGCTGCAGGGCGAGAGGGAGGTGTGGAAGCACGTGGAGAAAGGTCAGGAGGTTGTGCCGAAGGGGCGGGGAGAGTATTGGCTGCGGTGTCGGCTATGCTCGACCGTTTACAGGGGCACGAGCACAAGAGCCGTTGAGCATTTCCTCAAATTGCAGAAGCCTTGCCCTTTCAGGACAGGCGAGATATTGCACAAGCTGGTGGCCCAAGGCGCGAAGGTGCTGCCGAAGGACAAGAAGACACAATACCTTCTGCAAAATTACCGGCAGCTTCACAACATTTCGGCGGGGGGGGCTGCAAAGACGACGAGAGTGCGGTTGTACCTCGCGGTTATGAGGAACCACAACCGCCGGTTGCTGCTGGGAGGGAGCCCGTGGAGGAGCTGGTGCAGCGGGGAAAAGAAACTGCAGCGGCACAGGCGGTGGGAGAAGATGGTGCTTCCACCACAAGGATAGCTTCAATGCAGCAAACGACCATCAAGAGATGGGTCGACAACGCGGCGCAGAAGAAGTTGGATGTTGCGTGGGCGGAGGCAATGTTCAGAGTCGGAATTGCATTCCAATTCCTGGAGTTTGACACCACGCAGCAGCTGCACAAGGTGTATCTCGAGGTGGCGAACGCCAGACCGCAGGTGAAGTTGCCGTCTTCAAAGCACATTCGGACTGTCATGCTCGAGTTCATTTTCATGCGCATTTGACAAAATGTTGGGATGTCACCGGCTGCACTTTCATCACGGACGGGTCTAACGATCGGAGGGAGCGGCCTGTCATGAACTTCTTAGCGGCGGGGGAGCAGGGAGCTGTTCTAGTGGCGACGGTGTACATGGACGACAAGAAGAAGACGGGAGCAGCGTTGGCAAGACTATGGGAGAAAATAATGAGGGAGATCGGGCAGCAACGCATCAACGCGATTTGCACTGACAACGCGGAGGTGAACAAGAGGGCAGCTCAAATTTTGGAACGACACACGGACCTTGCGGTTTCAAGGATACCTTGGGTTCCCTGTGCTGCACACTGCAGCAGCTTGCTGCTAAGGGACATCAGCAAGTTGGAGTGGGTGAAGGGCACGGTGAAGCGGGGCCACACCATCGTCAAATTTATCAGGAATCACCACACAACTAACAGTTTCATGATGAGTTTGGACTCGTCATTGACGTTGTCGCGACCAACTGAGGTCCGTTTCGGGTCGGTGTACCGGATGCTGGAGCGGATACACAACCGGAGGGCAGTTTTGAAGGACATGGTGGACGCGACGAATGTGGGGAAATGGAAGGCGATGCGGTGGTCGAACGCGAAACTGCAAGCGAAAGCGGATCTCGTGTACTTCACAATGCGGAGGGATGCTTGGTGGACGGAGCTAAGGAAGGTGGCGGAGATGATGGAGTCGTTGTATCTCCTACCGCGGAGGATGGACAAGGACAAGACTGCACCGTCAAACCTTGTGGAGTACGACCGACTCATGGAGAGGACGCTGGCGGAGGTTGTGTTGACACCGGAGCAACAAAGTTCTGTGCTAGAGAAGGTGAGGGACCACATGAAGATGATGCGGCAACCGGTGCACGCCCTGGCTTTTCTTCTCGACCCGCGGAGGAGAGATCCGAAGTGGTTGATGGACCGGGATAGCGCACTTGTGCAGAACGCGCTGCGTTAGTTGCAGAGGCAAATTGGCGGACGCTGGAAGTCAAAGGCGCACGTGGATATAATGAAAGATCTACGCGAGTTTCACAAGCGACCCACCGCATACGACCCCAAGTGGAAGGACAAGAAGATGTGGGAAGAGGATGAGGTCGAGGATGTTGATACTATCTCGCTGTTGGAGTGGTGGGCAACACATGGCGGTGATGCGCCGAAGTTGCAGGCCATTGCTATCAAAGTGATGGGCATGTGGAGCACGGCAACTCCGGCGGAGCGTAATTGGTCCTCGATGGACCTGGTGCACTCCAAGCGACGGAATCGGTTGAAGCCCGCGACCGTGGAGAAGCTTGTGTACATTCATTGGAACATGAATCTGTTGCGGGCGAGCAAGAACTTAAAGGACCATCACTACGTCGATTTGTGGGCGGAGTTCTTCGAGTCTCTTCCGGATGCGGAGGAGGGCGATGATCCTCTCTTGGAGGTGTCCGAGGAGGAGAAGGGGAAAACGGAGGAGGAGCAGGCGCGTGAATGGGCCTTAACCAAGTTACCAAAGGCCCGGATTCCGAAGAACCTCGAAGAAGATGAAGAGGAGCGCACGGACGACAGCGACTTGGAGGACGAGATATGGAAGGGAAAGGCTCAATGGTCTGAAACGTCTAGCGAAGGGGAGGCAGAAGACGGGTCCGACGATGACTTTGAGTTGGGAGCGCAACCCTCAATCCTGGACACCACATATGTTGCGAGGAGGCGAACAACGCAGTGCTATCGAGAACACCCACCCACAATGCCATTTCAAGGGACGGCTAACACAAGTGGACAATAGGACATCGAATCCGATGTTGAGCTACCGCAGACGGACACCAACAGTGCCATGGTGCTTCGCCCCGGTCCAATCGACGCGGATGAGGCGGAGGCCGATCGTGCGAAGGCAATGGCTGATGCGGATCGCGAACGGGTGCAAAGGAGAATGGGAGAGGAGGAGGAGCAGCGAGCAGCTATACCCACCCGTAGAGAAATGGAGAAACAAAAGAAGGTTGGAGAGCATGAGCCAGAACCTGTGCGGGAGATGGGGCAGCAAGAGGAGGAAGAGGAGGAGATGGGCCAGCAAGACGAGGAGGAAGAACACGAGATGGCCCACCTGGCGCAGGAAGAAGAAGAGATGGAGGAGGAAGAAGAAGAGGCTTGCATGGA